ATTTGGGATCTCCGAAAGCCCAAGTTTCCTATGGCTGAGCTTCCTGGGCATGTGCATTGGTACTTCATCTTATTTTACTGTAAGACTACAAATATAAGCTATTTTGAAAGACTAAAAAGTTCACATAACTGATTTGCATAACAGTTCTCTTTTCCTTGCATTCTTATGATGGCTGATTTTGTTTTGTTTCCTCTTGAATGTGATGTACAGTTTAAGAAACTGAACTTGTTTTATCTCCTAACTTTCCTGTTTATTTTTATTATTTTCTGACCAAGGTTGAGTTCGCTATAATTTTTAGGACATGGGCTGTTCGCTACAACCCTGAGTATGATGATCTTATATTGGTACCTACCTTTTTATTTATGTATTCAACCTTTTTGTTTGCCTCTTTCCCGCTCCCCTCTTCATTGTGGTTCAGGTACAGGCTACTTAGTAATTGCTCATTAATAAGATAAATGCATACAGACTGCTGGAACAGACTCGGCTGTAAATTTGCTTTTGGCGTCTACTCCTGGAAGCGGTGATTCAACACCTGAAAGGTTGTGTGGTCTCAAATCTAGCCCTAAATTTTGTTCAATAGCAAAGTAGTCTTTTTATAAATGTCAACACCCTACTGCCTCTATCCAGCTTAGCTGACTATGCAGCACTTCGAATGGATCCTTTACTGCATTCGTACAGTGACTACGAGGACAGTGTTTATGGTAATTTCTAACTTTAAGTCTTTTTAACTGCAACTTTATCAGGCAAAACCAAGTAGATGCTTCAGATTTTTTTTTTAATTAGGTATTGCATGGAGCCGCAGGGAGCCTTCAATATTTGCTTCATTGTCATATGACGGGAGGGTAAGAATAAATTATCTATATTCTTACCATCTTTTGGGTGAACTTCATGTTAATTCCTAGTTTTGTGTTGACACTAGATCAAAATTTTATTTTATTTAGTGATTGTTCTAAAATTGAATATATTGGGTTGCATTTTGTTGACACTTGAACAATCTTTGGCCTTCATTTCTTCCTTGAACTTTAACGAATAAAAAGTAAGTTCAGATAAATATTTCCTAGCAACAACACAACTTTTTAAGCCATTTCAAAAGTTTGTCCATCACCACTTTCTTATAGCAATTACCTGGCAATCAACCCTAACTAATTTTACTTGCTGGCAAGTGCAATCTTATTGATAGCTGGAGGATTTTGGTTGCCTAATCCTCATTGAATGGAGACCAATTTGGGCTTCATGTTTTGTTGATGACATTTAATAGTGTTTTTACTTCTTCCTGTGGGTGTCCTATATTTTACCTAGTACAGCACCTTAACTTTTGGCGGGGAGGGAGGTGTATGCAACAGGAGAACTTAAATGATATAAAGAACATGTATTGCTGTTGAAGAAGAGAAAGTTGCAGATGTTGATGTGAGGCATTGTTGAATCGTCAATTGCTGCGTCGAGTATAGCTCAAATTGCTACTGCCGATGAAGCGTAGTGATACTGGACGTCTAGTACTGCTCCTTATGGTGAGATGTAGAATTAATTGGAGTTGGCGTTGATCATGACGGCCCTGGAACAAAAAACATTAAAGGCATAAATGTTGAATGTCCTGAAATTGCGCCCACTGATCCAGTCCAATGCAAATCAAATGAAGGTGACTTCTGATAACTTGAGGGTATAGGATCAACATATAGAGTTGTCCCAGTATCTGCATAGGTGGATGATCCAGGATCTGTGTAAGTGGATGTCTATTATTTGTGTAGATGAATCATTCAGGATTTTCATAGGTGGATGGTTTTGGATCTACGTAGGTTGAAGACCTTGCTTCTAAACCCTTAGATGTATATGTAGTGGTACATATACTATTTGAGAAGTGAACTTGTTAACATCTGTGTTTAGCACAAACGAAACAAAAAAAAAATCAG